CTTCGTCCCTCATTATTTGGAGTCGTCGTTTGCATAATTTCACCAACTGCATTGCATTCACAATATCTTGATCTTTCATCTAAAATGCATTTGACTGTTCATTTGAAATCCCCAATTCACTTCTCATCAACTGTAGAATAAATGCAAAAATCAAATGTTTATATCGACTCTAGTAAATTTATTGCATTAGATATTTGATCACATGAACAAGATTAATCTTCAACAATCATTGCAAGTATATCATTAACAGAAGAGAACATGACAAGTAAGCTGACCAAAGAATTATAATATGAAACCCATCGTGTAGCACCAGAACGTTGGAATTTTTGTGACATCAAATTCCACATTATACAATATTCCTCATCAACAATTTCTACATTTGTTTTTGTTTTTGTTTTTTTTTTTTTTGAAAAAATCTCTTCATTTGATATTTGGATTTAAACATTTGATATTCATTTACTACCGGGAGTGATTCAGAATGACAAAAATAGAATCATGAATACTGGAAAAAAAAAAACAAATCAATTCCCATAGCAATACTATAAGTAATTCACTGGGCAATACTATAATCAATTCACAGTGCAATTCAACTTGTACAATTCACAAATCATAGTGGCAGGGTAAACAACTCATAGTCACAGATGCAGCAATACTAGAAAGAGCTTGAAATCTGGTAGCAAAATCAATTGAAGAGCAATGTGTATGTAGTAGCCAAATCTACCTAGTCTATTGCAGTCTAGGGCTCGAACAGGGACGGAGTAGTCGAGCAGCAACGAAAATTGAATGGAGGAGGTTGAGAAAATGAGAAGTCCGGCTCTGAGAGGAGGATGTGGAGGCGGGGGATGAAGGAGTGGGATGGGTTGAATTGGGAATTGAATTCGAATGGAATGGGTTGTAATCGGTAATGGATCTAATGGTATTGGGTTGAATCATGAATGGTATTGGACTTCACTTCTTGGTTGGGCATTACAATTACAAAGGTGGATTAATAGTTAAAAAGATGGGCATTTGGGTTGGGCTCAAAAGTAGGCCTGCATCGGACTTCATTGGGCTCCGCCCCAGCATATAGAGAGATTTATATTTTTAAAAAAAATTAATTTCCTATAAAGAACATTTTCTTAACGATAAACTCGCATTTAAATGAATTTTTGAAAATTCAGTTTTGTCAACAGATTAAACAATAACTTGTTATGATCTTTGTTTATTATTTACTTTACACGTGCTGATAGAAGCAGTTGAAAATCATATGCCACAAGTAATTGTAATTGATGAAAATGGCAAAAAACTTGAAGCAATGCTGGCTTGCACAACGTGGAATTGAGTTAGTCTTGAAGGGAATTTGTGGCACAATGATGCAAGTGACCCAATCGGATGAAATCTTGGAAGCCCAGTTAGCTGAATAATTTGGTTTATTACTTGGTGCAAGAAATATATTTATGAAATGCTTAAAACCATGTAATAACNTTGTGTAATCTTGTGTAATTATTAGTTGAGCTGAGTTGTTATTAGTTCTTGTGTGAACTGTTTTGGCGAAGGAGAGGTGTTGTGATTCTAGGGTCGAGTCTGAGTGTCTACCCTTTGTAATCTGACTTTGGTTATGATTTGTACTTTGATAGTGGTCGTTCTTCAGTGATTTAAGCACCGAGTACCGGATTCTTGGCTTGAGGGCTTTGAATAATAAGATGCGTTATTTTTCACTTTAGTTTGTTCATTCTAACGTTCACTTTGGTTTCTGTTTTTAGTATATATATTTTGTTGATCTTGAGCTAACATTCTGTGAATCTCCTCCCAACAAGTCTTGCCTTAAATCAACTCGCAAATGGAGAAAACAACGGGGACTCAAAAATAAGGCAGTAAAATACATCAACATTTGGTTTGATGTTTGCAGCAAAAAAAAAAAAATTGGAGAGAGAGAGATTCATTCATGTCTGAATAATAATTGAACACCGTAAAAATAATTGCACTATCAAAAGAGAATTCATGTTATGTTTTCCTCACTCCCATCATGTCGTCAATCAGCCAATCTCATAGAACTTATAATTGTCCTAAAATTTTATAATTTATTTGCACAACGTTTAGACTTTGCTTCCACGATGGTATTTAGCAAATAACAATGGAAAAATCAATAAACTCGTAATCGAGTCCTCGTTTGGTCCTCGTTTTTTTAAAATTCATTTTCTCTCGAACTTATTTTTAACACACATCTCATGGAATCTGATTCTTTTATCAACTTTTATGGAAATTTATTAAAGATACGATTTTTAACCAAACAGGGGCGGCCTTTTTGCATAAAAAAACAAACCGAAAATGTTTTATTGTCGGATTTAAGACAAAAGACAAGTGGAGCAATCCTATTTATGTTGTATTTGCCGACCCGAAAACAAAAGGAATAAAGCGAAGTTGAAGCATTATTTCACATTTGTTGCAACTTGCAAGTGTGTGTTTGTGATTAATTGTACGATGAAATGTTATCATTATGTCATGCTGGTTGCAAGTTGTGAGCCATGGCATTGTTCTTGCATTGCTCTCACGATTTTATTTCAATTCTAGACGTGGGAAAATGTACGATGCCGGTCGAGCGCCGCCTTTGAATATTTGTCACGCTTTTACGTAGTCATTTTCTTTTACGTTCGATTATGTGGCTCTTAATTAAGAATGTTGATCAATTTTAAGAATGTCTGTTTATCATTCTTCGATTTTCACCGAACTAATTGAAAATTGACAATATATTGTATCCCAATTTTCTTCCATTATTTTGACATTAAGGATTGGAATGGAACATATTTCCGCGGTTAATTGTTTCAACACAATCACTTAGCGATGTAAAATTCTCCTACCCACCCAATCCCGAATAGGGCGAGGAATTTTTTAATTATTATACTTTTGAAACCTCATCAAGAATTTGGTCTAATATTTTCATATTCTTTGATTTTGCCATAATCTCAGACTACATAAAAAAAGGTTGAACCTTAACTTTGAGGGTCCCTCACCACTCCGTCCCCAGAGCAATGTGAGGAGGTAAATCGTGGAACGTACCTCAGACTACATGGCTAGGCGAAGAACTTGTGAGAGTAAATCTAAATTTTAAAAAACTCAAAAAGCACATAATAAAGTTTGTCTTTATTCAATGTCACGTCATATGCAAACCCAAGTGAATCTAATAATATATCATAATAAATGGATTAAAATTATATTTAAAACTAATGGTGAATCCCCAATTTTGGATCCAACTAGTGAGTTGGAAAACCAACTTTAGTTCGCATTTAAATGTGGAGATTACATTGCATTATATAATAGTCTAAATGTAATCACGTGCATTTGTGAAACGTGGTACCATCCCCCAAATCCAGATAAACGTAAACGAGACTTTAGTAATCTCCTAATCAGTATAAAAATCATTCTTTAGTAATCTCGTAATCAGTATAAAAATCATTCTTAAAGCCCAGTTAATTAAGTAATGAACCATGTTACAAGTACAGATAACTTTTACAGATAAAAACATATGACAGGATTTCATTGATTTTTGCCAAAACAAATTTAAAAAATGCTCCATACAAGCGCTAGGCGCCGCCAACTCAGCATCTGTATGGTACCCGTGAACAATTTCCTATTGTTCTTAAGTAATGAATGGATGATGAATAATGCTGTTCAAACAGGCTCTGGAAATAGGGGCAGGGACGTGCTGTGTTGGCAGCACGTGTGTGGCTATTTTTATTTTTTATTTTTTTTTCAAATTGTCCAATAATGTTTCATCACATGTCCCCCTATTTTTAATCCCTGTTATCGACCCCGTTTGTATAGTATGATTCATGGGTAATTGTATTGAGGAAGGAGGGGGGAAAGAGCTGGGATCAGTGGGATGCAGGGAATGTGCAGAACATGGTGTACATTTCATGCTGCTTCACTGTCTCACATGCAAAGGTGCAACCTGATTTCTGCATGTGCCGTTCCATGTGCATTCCTCCCTTTATTTTCTTTCTCTCCCCCTTTCTTGCATTTGAGGCTGGCCCATACCACATTCACATGTGCCTTTTGGGGAGGCCAAACCCACCCCATCCCCTACCCCCACAATACAACTAGCTTGCAACTCCATTTTTAACAAGTGAAATGACTAAACTACCCTTTAATTTTTATCGTAATCTTCTCCCTTTTTTTAGTCTTGTTTCGTTCTATTCATAAAGCATGTTTGTCAATTTTTATTAGTGTTGAAAAAACTCTACGTGGCCATTTCATAACGAAAGTTCACGATTTCATGACAAACATGTTAATCAATTTAGGATACGTGTCTTCCATGCATAAGCCTATTGCTCTATGTTGAAGCACATAATTATGCCTAACCAAATTAAAGTTAATGGTAACTTTGTTTTACATATTGATGCATGCTTGGCCAAATTAGGCAAATGACAACAAATATAAAATTGGACAATTTTCCAATCTTAGGTGCCCATTTCGTATGGCCAAATTTTATGGAGAGTGTTCAATGAATAGACATTGTAAAGGGGTATTTTGGGAATTAGAATTTTGAGGTCCCATGTGCAATTGCAAATAGGCAACCTTCCTCTGCATAAATTTCGTATTTCTTGCAATTATAAAAATTTAATAAAAATTGCATGCTTAAAGGGTTTATCGAATGATCATTAGTGTAACAGTTCAAAACTTTGGGAATTATTATCGTAAAAAAATAACTTCATTGAACATTAATGTAATTACTCAAAAATTCAGTGACCATTAGCATAATTAACCCGTGAACCATATAATAATAAACAATAATATTAAGTCACATGTCATAAAAAAAACAATAAAATTTCATTAAATTACAAAGATATTTCCACTAAATATTCAAATATCCAAATTCCAAAATGGCATTATTGTAATTCCCATACACACAAGTGGCACTGTTTCGCTACTTATTTATACCACCTGTAACGCACCCCGTTAAACCATCGTTCCCTTTCCCCCCTTCCTCCACCATCCCAGCCACCGTTACGCCGCCGCTTCAAATGGGTTCACAGACAAGAAACTCCATAAGTACGGTGGCGAGGAGGAGAAGAAGGCCCTCTAAAGTTCATAGAAGCTCGAGGCCGGGCAACATTGATAGAACAACCGCCGGTGGTTTATCGGTTCCCGACAAGTTGGAGGCCTTAAAGAACCTTATTCCATCCGAAAATGGGGAGATGAAGCCCGACCAGTTGTTTCAAAAAACGGCCGACTACATTGTACTTCTCAATACCCAAGTTCTTGTTTTGCAGAAATTGATTGATTTTTATGGGTCTCAACCTCAAGAAAACCAAAATGAAAATGTTGTATAGATCATATGCAAGAATTTTTCATTATCGATGAATCTTAAAGGCTGGAATATGGAAAAAAAATGGTTCTTCACTTCATTCGTTACAAAATGAATTAGATTTTAGTATAAAAGAATTTATGTTTCCTTAATACCATCGAAATTCTTTATTTCTCTTTGATGGGTTCTTGACTTGTTGCTTCTTATTTTTCAGTTTCTTGTAGTTCTTGATTCTAGATGAGAATTGGACTAAATCCCTGAATTTAGTTTCTTTATTTCTCTTTGATGGGTTCTTGACTCGTTGCTTCTTATTTTCAGTTTCTTGTAGTTCTTGATGACTGAGTCCCCGAATTTAGTTTAGTCTCTAAGGTCGTTACTCGTTACAATCCGACTTGCCTGCAAAGTCAGGCATTCACGAAACTAGTCCTCGGGTAAATGTAATTCATCTTTATTTTTCGATCCACCACAAGGTGTCACTTGTCCGATAACACAAATATTGAATATAATTTACCTTTCAAATCGACTTCTAAGAAAAGGATATTACAGTAGTGAAATGTTCGACGGCCAAATATTTACTTTTAACGACTCGAGATGAAACTATGTTTTTCTCTTGCAAGGGCACGCTTGTAATTGCATCAAAGCTGGGATGCACATTCTTTCACATGATATTTGAGTAGTAACGGCACCCACATGCCATGTTATGGCATGCCAGGGACAAGTTGCTGGAAAATAATGGAGCTTTAAACATGAGCAGAATTAGGGTACAATTTTGTCTTTTCTTTTGTCTCTATAAAATCACTAGTGCAAAAAATATTTTTCATTTCAATTTTTTAGATATTTTGCGATTAGGTTTTATTTTTTACTCTTCCGGTAAATGAATTCGAACAAAGATAGCATCACTTTTACGAACTACACGCAAAACATTTCCAACGGAAGTTCAACGATATTTGACATTAAATGCAATTCATCGTCAGAAATCATGAGCTCTTATCCTTTTCCTTAATCCATTCGACTAAATTATTGAAAATCTTATGGGATGATCCTCCTGTGGCTGTGGCACTAGCCATGGTCTTTGCTTGAAGATTCAAGGCCCTTCTTTTATATCTTTTGTCAGTCAAAAGTTGTTCCAACTTATTCTTAATTTCTTCCTTTCTTATTATTCCCTTTTCATCTTTGTCTAATCCCAGTCCAATTTCCCAGTGATCACAAATATAGGTCTGATTAAAAAACTGGTCAGCAAAATATGGCCAGCACAAGAATGGGACTCCATTACTTACCCCTTCCACGGTAGAATTCCAACCACAATGGCTTAAGAAGCAAGCAACAGAAGGATGAGATAAGACCTTTTGCTGCGGAGCCCAACCCACCATTAGCCCGCGATGTCGTACTCTGTCTTCGAACCCTTTTGGCATGTCCGGTAGGGTCGACTGGACAGTATTGATATCTTGACGTACAACCCATATGAATGGCCTATTCGTTAGCTCAAGCCCGAGAGCCAATTCTTGAAACTGAGTTTCGTTAAAAACAGTGAAACTTCCAAATGCAATATAAATAACAGACTGGGATGGTTGTTGATCAAGCCATTCTAGGCAAGTAGAATCTTGTGGCCAGAAGTGGCCGCCTGATTTTCCGAGACGGTTGTTGGCCAGAAGAGGGCCTATGGGTTTACAATATGGAATAACGTCTAATGCTGCAGGCTCCAATTCATAAGATGAATTGCAGATGGACCAATCTGCCACATTTGCTGAATTGTTGTTTTTTTTTATATGATCAAACATAATTTTCTGTGATTCTAAGTCACCGATACTGGTCCATACCAAGGTCTCAGAGTTCATTAGAGGCATGGTTGGAGACAGTTGAAACATTTGTTTCTTCAAGACTCTTCCTGTAAAACAGAGATTTTTGACATACATAAAAAAAAAATTTATTTGTCGGGTTAACAACAACAATGGAATTATGTTTCTCCACTAAAAAATTATGCTTCTAAATAAGGTAGTTCAACATATTACTAGAGTAGATAAACACCGTCCAATGTTTAATGAAAAATGAATCCGAACTGCATGTGAGATAGCATCTCTAATAGTCTAAAATTTTATTGTCGGGTTAACAAATATAATGGAATTGCATTTCTTCTCCAATAACTTAAGCTTTTAGATAAGGTAGTTCAACATGTTATGAAAGCAGATGGAGGTCGTTCAATGTTTAATGAAAAGTGAATCTGAGTTGCATGGCTTTCATAAAAATTCTTGGGAATCGAGAAAGAAGTTTCCATTCTGTACATGCTAGATAAAGAATTAGTAATGTGTTTCTAATGGTCTAAACATTTCATTTGTTGGGTTAACAACAATAATTTGTGTTTCTTCTCTAATAACTTAAGCTTCTAGATAAGACAGTTCAACATGATATTAGAACAGAAAGAGCTAATTCAGTGTTTAATGAAAAATGAATCTGAACTGCAAATGAGAAAGCGTGTCTAACAGCCTATATTTTTAAATAACATAGTTCAACAGTTTGAGGTTTACCATCACTGTCGATGATTCCATCGTCAATCAACTTTGGACAGTTATTTGCCAAGGCCAACATGGCAGCCGCAGCCGGGCAGAAAGCTACACTCTTGATTCCCAACTTCTTGGCCAACTCCATCGCCCATCCCATGCCATAATCTGCTATAACACATATAATCTTATCGCTCTCAGTTCCATTTATCTTTCCAATTAGGTCCTCCAACTTCCCAGGCATAACCGTCGAAATTGCCTCGGATAACTTTCCCAGTTCATTTCTGTCCTCCCATGGTTCCAATCCATCTGGGATTGATACCAACTTTACCATTTCTTTTTCCTGTGTGTTTTCTGTCTCTGTTAATGCTTTGACAACTCTCTTGTGATTGAATTCTGTGTTTACAAATGTGACTTTGATGCCATGTTTTACTAGCCATAGTGAAACTTCCATTAAGGGGATAACATGGCCTTGTGCTGGATATGGTATGGCTAATACATGTGGAGTGGCCATTGTACTTTTGTTCACCCTATAAAGTTCTAGTTGTATTGTTAACTTTAAGTTTATGCTTACTTATATAGGCATCAAAGCTGGCATTTGTTGGCGAATTTCAAGTCTTTGTTTGGTTACAGATTCTTTTACGACTCATTTTTTCTCAAACTCATTTTCCATTGCACTCTCTTGATAAAATAATTTTACACATAGACTTATAACCTTTTTTCTTACTTTTTAATCACATGTTCTCAAAAAATATTATTTTTCCGCAAAATCTATTCTTAAAGAATTTACATCAAACATAACTTGAATAGGGCCTCCAATGAAACGAGAGTATATTTATTGGGAATTTTATGGAAAAATGGCAAATTTTTGTAATTTTTAATAATGAATTTCCTTTTCCTTTTGTCCCTCAAACTTGGTCCTTGTAACCAATTTCCTTTTAAAATGTTTTTTTAAATTTGACATAGTTTAAGCTAGGTTCTAGTTGGATATTCATTGTCTGTTGTTATATCTTTGTTCTTTTCACTTGTTACAACTTTAGTACTACATTACTCTATTGTCTGCATCGCCTCTTCTTCTTGGAGAGATTCATCACTTCATTTTCATCGCCATAGGTTGTTTTCAATGGTGTCATTGCACTTGTATAACTATGTAGCCGGATTTTATTTGTCGATTGATTCTATGGCCGGCATATGAAAGCAAATGCTACAACTTAATGAAAATGGCTTTAATTATTAAATAATATTGTGTTAGACATGACTCAACATTACGATGGACAAAAGTAATTACTATTTCTTTTATATTACCGAGCAATGCTATCGAATTGAACTTACCACATATGCAGTAAAACCTTATTTTGAGAGCTCCTTTGATTAGTAACATGCTTGTCTTGGTTGATTCAGTCGAGTCATTTTCTTGTTATCCTTCATGTGAGTGCTGAAGTGTTAAAGCAAGTATAATGTGGGATGGATTATTCTTGTTGTATATAATATCTTACCTAATGTGCGCCATAATTGACAAATGACGGCCCCTATTGGGGGGCGCATGTGGGCCCAGACGCACCTCCAATAGGGGGGGGCCACCATTTGTCAATTATGGCACGCATTAGGTAAAAGGTTATGTACTTGTAGCATAACCCGGGTGGGATATACACTAGAATTGTAGGAGTGTATTACTTTTGGAAGACAATACTAAACATGACTCGATAATATTAACTATTAATTTGAAAAAAAAAAAAAAAGAGTTCGTGGTATTCTTTATCAAACTTTTCATCGTAGGGCTCGAATTGAACACACGTAATCAACTTAGGGTTGATGCATTAGAGTATAAAGTCAATATGTGAAGTTGAAAAATAAGTTAAAATCTTATTTAGCCTCTATTTGGCTTCAATTTTTTTAAAAAAAAATTCATTTTCATCCACACATTTATGGAATCAACAACTTTTATCAAATTTTACTAAAATATGATTTTTAGTCAAACCAAACGAGGGATTAATATATTGCAAAGTCCACTCTAGAACTGTGTACTAAAAATACATTTTATGGACGTTCCTAAGTTAATAATAATAATAATAATAATAATAATAATAATAATAATAATAAAGAAACCACCAAGCAAGAAATTGAACCCCTAACTTAAATTCTTTTGTAAATTGGGTTTGTTTCGGATTTTGGATCTTACAGGGGAACTGGACTTGGCTAAAGTGTTTTACTTCGTGTAGTTTATGGGCCAACCTTAACATGGACACCCCAGCAGACCATTTATCTTTTGGGCTGAAGTCCTAAACCCACTAATGGATCTAATGAGTTATCAGTCTTTAGACTAATTATAAATCCAGCCCAGGCTACATATAATAACTGACGAATAAAAATAGTAAATTACTATTTAAATTTAGGAAACAATAGACAAGTCAGGCGTTTACTTAATCACCTTTCAAAACTACGATATATGTTTTCAAGTTTCAAATATCAGGTTCTCATTCGGAATAATATATGAAATTTAATTATATATAGAATATGTATAATTAAAGAATGATTAACCGCATCCTGTAATTAAGGATTCGATTACAATTTGAAAATCGGATTCTTCTCAACCATGTCATTTCAAATCCGTAACAGACAGAATAAGCTCGAATGACACCATTGTTCATCTGGAATTGGAATTCTAAGAGCGACAAGGTCACAAATATCCGATGATCAAATGAACGAAATCAGCCGGCGTTTGCACTTCAACACCAGTACGTTTTTCTCTTAATGTTTTGGATTTGATTTCACCATAAGTCACAACGGTTGTATGGATGGGGTAATAATCCTCTAAATGGTGTAAGGGTCACAAATGTCAGAATTATTTGAACGGATAATACCGTGATTTTTTCCCCAATCCAATTTACTCTTTCATCGAATCTATTTTTGTGACCAATTTTTTTTTTTTAAAGATTGTGTCCCCATCATTATGGCTATCATTGCATGTGAAAGAGTATAAGTATTACTATATTCTTCTTTGTTAACAGTCACGTGAATGTATTTTTTGTGAAATCCATTTATGGAAATGCATTGTAGAATATGTGTGTGACTGGAAGTTATATGTGTCGCCCTTTTTAAAATTTGGGAAATAAACTGATGTTTGTCCCTAGAATCATTGGTATACCAGAAACTATTTATGTAACCTGATTGTGTCATTTGTGACCATTATTTTGTTACGTGCGAACGAGTATCACACATAATTTGTGGACATTTTTGGTTATGTGTCATTTGTGACCAACATTAATCGTGGCTTGTGACCTGCATGTAATTGACTGGTGAACTTAGTGTTATGCATTATTGACAGTATCTTGTGAATCTTCAACAGGAATAGGTTATGTGAATGTTTGTTTGGTGAATGGAGAGGTATCAACTTTAGTAGCTGCAAAATAATTTCATTACATTCCACGAAATGAGAGAAGCAAGTTTCTGCCATAATAGACTTTTGGACCGCATTGAACTTAGAAGTGAAATTTGTCAGTACGTTTTTTGCCACATTTATTGTAATCTTCCCGGGAAACCATGAATCTTCTGGAATAATGTATTTCCATTCCTGGGTCACAATACATAAAAACAAATGATATCATACATCAATAACTATGCACATCAACTGATTGTGACCTAATGTTTATCAGAAAATATATATGTCACATTAGAAGAAGAATTGTGACCTAGTTATAACTGTTCTATCACAAATGAACGTTTAGGTTTCAATACATAAAAATCTAGGTCACAATCAACAACAAATGTTGAGAAATTGCCAAAAAAAAACTTACCTTAGCCAGATTCGATCTTCGAGGGTTTACAGGAGTTCTAGGGTTATCCTTGCGAGCCCTCTTCTCCAAGTTCGGACGCGATTTACTGGGGATGTTCGATTTTTCTTCACGGTACTCCTTCACCACATTCGCCCTTCCCCTGCTATGACGTGCAGTTCCATAGGGTTCACCAGCGTCGAAACGTGCCGTTCGATCACAACTTCGCATTAACGCCATTTCTCCTATACACCGTTCGCAGAAACACAACCCAAGTCTCAGTCACCTCCTCACCTTCTTTGAACACCCTTCACAGTATCACCATCTTTGTACTTGTACCCGTGAGCAATGTAGATAAGAATCGATTTTGAGTTTTTGTTCTGATGTGAAAATGAAGAGAATGAAATGCTAAAAGTTTGAAATTTGAATGACAAATTAAATTAGACTTGTCCAAGAGTTCCAAGATATACATTGTATTCATAAGAAATAAATAACCCTCAATTTCTATTAATGCCAGATTATCAAGCAAGATTGGTAACCTTTTCTAATAAATGCCTCTCTTGTCCTAAAATTATTAGTGCTCGATTATTATTTCAACTTGTCGCTCAAGTATATTGTGTATTTGAACAACACTTCAAACATTTTGACTTGATGTGCATATGTAACGAATTTTACACACTCATTGATATTTTCACTAGTACGTGAATTGACTCGCGTCACTCTCTAAACCTTAATTCCACCTCTAGAACTGAAAAAACCCCATTATTCTCCATTCAATTCAAAAACACTCGCGCGTTGGCGTTTGATAAATTGCAAGAATAGTATTGGACCACCAAAACTAGTATAATCCGAACTTATGATAAATCCACCAATTGTAAACAACTAAAATTCCATAAAGCCCACCACATCACACCTGATTCTGATACCTACAAGCTGAATTCTTGGGCCCCACCCACCCCACCGTACCCCCTACCAACCTCAATTGGGGTGGTGATGCAAATATTTTTTAAGAATTGATTTTGAAACCTCGTATGTTTCAAAAACACACAACATTCTGATGTCACTACCAAATCTCAAGACACCCCACTCTTTATTATTGAATAATATCCAAATAATTGACTTAGATTTTGTTCACATTCTGATACTGATGATGATGACAGGTAGACAAATGTTTGATAGTTATGTTATTAATAGTTAGGAGCAAAGATTTTAAATTTTAGTGACGTGGCAGCAGCCCTTTGAATAAATGAAAGGGCAAAATCTAGCACAGAGAATCCAACAGAAAAACATGATTTTGTGACTTTTTGTAGTGACTGTGAGTATCTCTGTCGGGAAAAACAACCTCGTACTTTGTCTGAATAAATTAACAGTTAAAAAAAGTAGTCAGAAGTGTCATCAGACAGTTATTTCGCTCCACAACCCAATAAAATACTGAGTCAAACAACACGTGATTCTGGGACACATCAAACACTCCAGCGCCAAGTTTTAAAAAATATTCCAACGGCTATGTCCCAAAAGTTTTAATTACAAAAAAAAACCATACTAGTGAAAGAAATTTTCTCATAGGTCTTTTATTTTTACTTTTTTGTTGGGCTGAGTGGGGGTAACTGCATATTATCTCGAGACAAATGGATACAAACTTACAGCTAGACAAAGTTGTCCTACAATACACATAAAACATAGAGTCGATCTTTGAAGCATACCTTAAAGTAGAATAGAGAGATCCACATGAGTTGGCTATGGATCCCTAAAAGGCAACCTTCCTGAAATACTAAATTATTTTACGCATATTAGAAAGAGCATTTTATGTGCTTCATCGAAAACAAAAAAGTACAGCCTCGATTGCCTCACTAATAGTAAGCACATCTTGGGTTCTCCTGTCCATTTCCGAGGTCTGTAAAAGCACATAGCAGCAGTTATGGGTTATAGGTACAGAAGGCACTGATGGGACGGCTCTGATCAATCAGTGATCATAACGAAAGACAATCTGTTCCCTCTGGTACTGTCTCAGGCATTGGAACTGCTATAACGTATCTCTGGAGGTGTTTCTGCATTGATGATGTGCCAGAAGATGATGCTGTATCAACACCTTGATGAGCCCTGCCGTGAAACTTCGCCAAACGGTTGATGATCGAGAACTTCTCCAACTCCTGGGCTTCTGCCCTCGTGTCCGTAATCGATAAACTCTTGTCCAATCTGCATCATCAAATTACACAATATGTTTACTAGCTTGTGTATAACTTATAGATATAGGCATCATAAAGAAAAGGTACACGGCATATCCAACCGTGGAGGCATGTTTGGTATGGAGTATTAAATTGCACTAAAAGTATAATAGAAACCTGATAACTTCTTTTTCTTATTAATACGGTTTAGTACTATTTAATATGCCTTACCAAACAATTATTTTTTGATCCTCGGCTATAGACTTTCTTAAGTGCTGTTTTGAATATATTTTTACCTTAACATGTTGCCCTTGAGAATCTTCATTTGACTAATGAAGCCTTCTGCAACTTTTGAGAAATCATAAGCACCAGTCCTCTTAGAAGTTTTCAGCTTCTCAGGTGACCTAAACATATTTTAAAAGTGACGTTCAGAATATACAAAGCCACGATTACCACAATCTTTGATTTGGAAATAAAAACTTCTTTAAAAAGGAAAATGAATGAACACATATAAAGACATCTATTACTTGTCACTACTGTCAGATGGAAATTGAGAATTGGCAGCCAGGCTGCAGGCATCTCCCAATGTCAATCTTGCAGCAAAGTATGCCACGAAATCGTAGTTTGAACTTGCATCTGCAGAGAGAATGACAGTCGGTGCAGGCCGAAAGACCTGCTGTATAAGATGTGTTGTAAAGATAAGCCTTCTCTTTGCTCGAACAACTGGGTGGGTATCTTCAAAAACTATGGCCTCCGTTTTTACCTGCTAATACGAAAACCATTATGAACAAGTTTTAATTCTTCTATAACAGAACAAATTGTTAATTTTTTATAATATTGAATTTCGTTATGCGATCTGCCTCACCTCTTCAAAGATTTTATTTGTAGCTTGTGCCCATTCTAACTCAGCTGTGCTGCAATACAACAAGAGAACAAGGGAAATATTAGGAGCAGTGTTAGTTATACCTTTAAAAAATTGAGCTACTATTTTTCCCTTTTAATTTTTGAATGTGATTACGTGCTGGGTGGGGGTGGAGTACACTTAGTTAAGCAGCAATTGACAGTAGAAGCAAGAAATGGTCTATTAGCGACATAGTCAAATGCTCAGTAAGCAGAAAATGTCACAATGGTTCTAACCTGATATTTTGAAGCCTCCCCGAATTTTGAGTTACTTTGTGCCATGGTACAAGTTCAAATGCAATGATCTTACGCTTCCTAGGTCTTGAAACTGCCAAGTTTTGATAAGTGACATCTGAAGGTAACACATTAGTGGGAGATATTTGTTTACTTGCTACTGTAACTGGCCATATGCTGCTTCCTTGACTAACCAAATTCACCGGCATAATTGAGTTATTTGTTTGCAAGTTAGGAAGAGTCCTTTCAGAAATTTGATTTACTGCAATAATTTCAGCATTGGCATCAAACAGTGGCCGCATCTGCTCGTTTTTGAAGGTCCCATAATGTTTAAACCAGGATGGAGCCATTTGCAAACTAATCTGGGATGGACATGTCACGTTAGAATCTTCATTACTACCGATGGCCGGACTCTGAGTATCATTTTGACCAAACATTGCCATCTGTTGGGAATCACGAAGGTAAGCCTGTGATGAAATTTTGCCCAACTGATCACCTTGGGATTCTAGACAAAAGTTCCATGGCGTTTTATTGTTCCCTGACGAAAATGCATCATTTTTCTCCATATCGTTGACTCCTGATTTCTGTCCAGGCTGCTGGTAGTCAATACCAAAATCAACACCATCACATTTAATTGGCAACCTTTTACTAGAATCACCTTCCACAGGGTTTAGAGGCATTTGCATTGGTTGCAGAAAGGAGTGATTTTGATTTAGATTATACAACGGTATCAAAGTATTGCCAAAGGCTCCAGCATCTGTAGCTGGAACTAAAGGCGTTTGATTGCCTCTCTGATGTGCCATATTTGAGTGCCGAATCATTGAACCAGGTTTAACATCTGCTTCCAAGTGATGCTTTCCCATAGACTCGTGCTCATGAGTAAATCTACTCCGTGAAATTGAGGAATCTTCCCCAGCTGAGCCATATTGGTGGGATCCTTCTTTCCCTGATCGCAGTTCATTACAATTTGATTTTCCTGAATAGGCCCCATATTCTTGTACACTGTTTTCTTGTTTGTGCTGCTCATGTGAAGGCCCTGCAGTATCTGGTAGACTGCTCAAAGCTAAATCAGAGGATCGGAGCAAATCTGGCCACACATTGGATTGCCCCATGGGAAGTCCCACATGCTGAGACGCAACTGATGTCAATGACGTCTGAGTGACGGGAACAGATCCTAAAATAGGTAATCCTTGATCATAAGGATGAGTGCTTTTAAGAGGACCATTATCTTGAGACAGAGTAGCATTATATGCTGGAAATTTACTTGCCCAATGACTTGTCATGGGTGGACCTGAAGGACGACGATTTTGAAGATGCGAATGACTTTTAGGCGATGATGCACTTGAGTTCCCCTGCAAGTTTTAGGCAAAAAACAATACTGAATAGACACTTAAAAATTATATTTGCAAATTAAGCAATTTAATGGCAGTTCCATCTTTGTGAACCCTTCCATACAAACTCAAGATTTACATGACAGAAGTTTCTACCCACCGACGAAGTTTGAAAGAAAGAGTATGACTGTGGAGTCTGCTGATCTGCAAGTCCCAATCTTAAGCCAAATCCTTGTGGTACAGAAGAAATGTTGCGTGATTTACCAAAAGATGCAGAAGTTTCAGTTAGGGGGGCTTCCTTTTGAGTTGAGTTGTTCGAGTTCAAGTTCCCATGTGCATGTTCCATGGACATGTCATCCTTGTTAAGTAGATCGAGCATACTTTCACTACCATAGTAAAAATCAATCATAGCATGATTTACACAAAATAAAAGGTAAAGGATAAGTAGACAAAAGCAAGACAACAATGAAGATTAAGAAGTAAAGCAATAGTCCACAAAGAAATGAATGGTGCTAATTGAGAAAAAAGGAATAAAATTGCCTTCTTCACATGCAACAAGACATTTTTTCCATAGGCAACTTCCTCAAATTCAGCATATTGTAAACAGTGTCTACCTTGTCTGAGCAGTCACACTTTGGATGTGCGGATGAGAGAGAGAACCAAAGAGAGATGACGTGGGCTCAAAATTGTTTTCAGGAGCCATCTTTGCTGATTCTGTTGAGTACAATTGATTTTTCGGATGGTGTACCTATAAACAAAGATTAGGAACCTTTTAGAAAATATAAACCTCTTCAATAAACAAAAACATTATCTTTTTAATATTTGCCTTAAGACTCAAATCAGACCTTTGGATTACCAAACATTGTTGAGCTAGTTGTATTGAAAATATAAGTACAATACAGTGCATAAATATTGGGACTGAGCTAGCAGGAAAAAACATACAGCACCAACCTGATAAAATGGCTTTTGACTGCCACCAGTCACATGCTGCAGTGTACTCCCATAAGGCTTCTCTCTCGATTCATGCCCTGCATCAGAGAGAAAACTTTCATTAAGATTTCCCTTAGAAAGCAATTCTGTCTCTCACATTTTAACACATTTTTTCAATTAGCAAAAGTTGATAACAAAAAATTCTTAATATTTGTAAAAGTAGTACCAAAGCATTGATGGGTTTTCTTTAATATAACCAATCAAACTTCATCCTTAGCACTCTCATCAATTAGGAAAGTTGGTTACTGGATTGTCAATGCGTAAAAAATGCTAAAGACAGAATATTTTCTTACCTGAGAGGCTGCTGAAAGGTCCGTTCACATTGGCACATGACATAAAGCTAGACTGATCTGTATCATTTTTTAAATGCTCATGACGTTGACCTAGCCAAAAGTTGGGCACAGGTGAAGATGTTTGAATCATTTGACTTCCTTCTACAGAATGCTTATGTTGAGAGCTATAATCTGACCACTTGTTAGCATTCCTAGGGGACTGCTGAATGGAAGAATGGGAAGACTCGGAGTGTGATTCCTCTCTCTGTTTGAGAAATTGGTCACCCGATTGCTGAAAACCAGGAAAGCTGTCGTTCATATTGGAATTATGAAAAAAAGCCTCGGATTTTGAACTCGGCAAGTCAACCCAATTATTTTGCTGTTTCCCACTGCCAATGTAATTTGAGGCCTTATTTTCGGTAGAAGGTTCTGGGTTCTGAATGCTCAATCCACTCCACCCTTCTTGTACCCCAGTATCACCACTCGAAGTTTCTGCCACAGCCGACTGCATAAGAGCACTCCAGCTACCACTTTGTGTAGAAGGCAATTCATCCATATAAGATGTGAGTTCCAGGGTACTTGCAAAGCCTCCAGCATCCTCGTTGTCATCCGTATTGTATAAGATTCTCTGTTCCAACGGGTCGAGAGAAGTGCCAGGCTGCAGAAAAATGCCTGGTTTTGGCACGTTTCCTGGAGCAAGTCCGTGCAACCCAGCTTGTTTTTGCCTCTGTTCAGATTCAAGAATTGACGTGTCCCTCTGCTGGGAATTCCCTTGCTGGGAGTAGTTCTCGCGTAAACTTCCCTCATTGAAACCTTGAACAAGGCCTTCTCCAAACAAATTCTTCTCCTCAAACACTTGATTGGGTAGCAGCGCTTCGTCTGGGATGCATAGCTGGTCTGAAGGGAAATTGCTTCTTTGACTAATAACCGAGTTACTGAAGGCTGATGGCTGCACGGCGGGAATTTCCAATGGGCTATTTTTGTTCATGACCAGTAGATTGGCAGAATCATTAGACGACCCCCCACGGTGAGAATATAAAGGTACACCAAACTGCTGTTGTGAAAATCCCAAAGAACGACCAGCCATATTATGAGGTTGCGAAAGACCCAATCCATTAGAAAAACCTTGAAAAGTAGCTGATCCACCATGTTGTGTCATGTCCATATTACCAACCACAAACATTTGCGATGGTAGTTGATTTACATAATTCTGTTTTTTACCTTCATCCATATCCTGGAGCTGCTGTCTTCGCTGCATTTCCTGGATATGTTTAAACATAATTTGCCGCTGCAACATCTGTACGTCACTGAATTTATATCCCTGCCTTGATGAGGTTGTTGCATTCCCTCAAAGCCTTTCGAGATATAATTCAGACAGAAAGGGTTGAACTTTTTAGCAGCTTAATTCCTCAGAAAACTTAATCAGATAAAGACTCCTTTTGAGGAAGAAAAATATTCAGGTAGAAAATGAAAGAAGTAACATGTAAATAAGGACATCAAAACGATTATATTGCAAAAACGAACACTTGAACCTTAACATATAGAATGCTATCTAGCATCGATGGTGCTAGATCATAAGTCTAGGTGGTCATACTTGATAAGTCTCATTAAATAGAAGTAACCTTGCATTTAAATGAATCAATCATTTAATGCCATTAGTAGTCGCCTAAACTGGTGCTTACCACTAATGGGATTGAATATCAACATATATGTGGATGATATACTTAAGATACTGACTCCCAAAAATTAAACCCAACTACTGAACCTCAGAAATATATCAACGTTATTTATAATTCACAATCATTACAACTCGGAATATAGTATGCTTTGTGAAAAAAATTCCAACATATTTTAGTTCAGTTTTAGATACATTAACCATGCAACAAGAGTTTAGGAAAATGACCAAAAATCTATGTCCTGTGTATGAACTTTAAGTTCATGTATCTTGAGTGGAAAATATAATGAAGATCTACTAAATCAGTCCACAATGTCTCCAAAACCTAATGAAATCCAATTCCAACACTACCCTGTAGTTATCCATCACCACAATAGAAGGAGAGTAGGCGAGGGGTGAATGTAGCAAGCAAATACAGTTAAAGGCAGATGGAGAGAATGAAGGCAACCTGCGCAGCCTAAGTTTGGAGTTGGAACAACGATAACATTTTAGAATTGTGGAGATGCCTAAATTCTAGAATGTTCGTACGAAGAGGGTTGAACGAGATCTCTAGGATGTCGTAGGCAAATATAGAGAAATGTAGGAAGCAACATTCCAGAATATTCTATAAGAGGAAAATTGTAGAGACAACCCCTGCACTAGTAAACATCTTAGATATTTAGGGTGGTTGGAACTGAAACCTCTCGCACCACCATAGGATTGTCTACCGTAGGATAAAAAGTAGGTGGAAGTCTAAATAGCAGCCACATCTGAAAGCAACCAAGTTAAAATGAAGGAACCAAGTTGTGAGAACAAAATTTGGACAGCTAGAATATCAAGGTTGTTTGGCGTTGTAATATGATTTCTGCATTTTTTTCTCTAATCAATCACTTACCATACTTGAGAGTTTTCTCTTTCACAGCAATGTCATGCCAATGTTTTGAGGTTAACTTAGCTAGTGCTGCCAACCATGGCTAACAAGAGCATGGAAGGGTCAACTCCATGAATAAGGAGCTCAAGGACGTATAAATTATGAAACATTATTTACTAGTTGGTTCAAGAACTTACACAACTATTTTTGTTAAACAAATAAAATAAAAACCATCAATTCTATGCCGGATGCCGCCCTGCAAAATTTTCATTTAAGTGTCTTCATTTTTTTAGATTAAACTTTCAAAAAAAAAAAAATTTGAAACCTTAACATCTTCACGGTGATTACAAGTTGTCTTATTCAAAATCTTAACTTTCTAGAAAGAGACGGTAAAAGCCAAAATTATCACGGAATTATTAAAAGTCATACTTTTTTTCAGTTTATCTAGTAAACCACTGAGATTTGCTAATAATTAACTTCACCGAAAATAAAGTAAAATAAAGATTGAAAAAAAGTGATTCCGAATTAGCTAAAACAACCCCTGGTTACCAAAATTAACCAAATTAATATAGTAAATCAAACAACAATTGCCACCAAAAAGTTCTAACCAAATTTGGTCTTAAAAAAAAAAACAATTACAACCAGGTGAATGTAAAATTAATTCAAGAATTGAGCTTAATATCCAAGAATTTTACCAAACGAAAAACCCTAAACAATTGTTGCATGTTCCCAGATACCCAAATCATTTACCTCGAATTCCATAAAAACATATACAAACACAACAAAGAATCAAATATAACCCCATTTCACCAAATTAAGAGTCAAATTCACATAAACACAACTCAAATTACTAATTGAACAATTCAACCTGCATGAAAGCAGAAAAAAAGCTCTAACCTTCACTATGAACAAGCTAGAGAAGCATAAAAAACCATAGTTTTAAGTAATTAGTGTGTGATCTGAGATAAATAATGGAAGGTTATTGAGTGTGTATGTGATATTTACCTTCTTAAATTTACTTTGCAAATATTAATTTACGAAATGGAGATCAAGACAGTGCAATTTCTTCGAGCTAGAAATGTACCAAATGCTTCCTCTTTTTCTTACTCTACATACAAAATATGTATGTATAGGTACCACTGTTTGCCGCTTGCTTTCTCTCTCTAGCTTTAGTAAGGAGGTGGTTATGTTTTTCAGACAAATCCCAAGATAATAAAGCCATCAAAACCGTGCAAGAAAATTACAAAAAAAATAAAAATACCTTCATCTTCCTGGTTCGGTGCAGAGGCCTGCCAAGCCTTAGTCTAAACCCCATCCGAAACTGAGATTTGTTTCCATGTTATGCAGTGTACGATCATTATGAAATGGTGTGCGTCGGATCAGATATTTACAAGAATCGTCGGTCAAGATTGAAGGTCCATGTACACCTGAATATACTGGATAATATCTATGTGTGAAAGGAAGAAAAAGTGGAATCAGAGAGATCTTTCCACGCGCAATTGTGCACGCGCTTGTCGTTTTCTTTTATGCTTGCCTTTTGCAAATTTTTCCTGGACAAAAAGGAGTTTTCGTGCGTGGAATTATTTTTGCTCTTTATAATGTGGTAGAATTTTCTCGCCCACCTAATTAATAAGGATTTAGCTATTTGTACTAGACACCATATTTACTTTCTTGTAAAAAAGTCATTGGGTAATTTTTTTTTGAAACTGTCAAATAACATTTCGTTTTGCTCCTTGTACATAAAGAAAACCACATAAACTCACTAGAATACACACAAACAGTAGGCCCCACCGTGTATTTAAAAAAAGTGCCGGGACTCACATGTGAGTCTATTCTGTGAATTTTATGTTGATTTTATTTCTGTACAAGCAGCATCTCTCAATAATATATACACCAAGTATGATTGAATTAATAATTAGAAAGCCATTAGCATTGGAATGACCTTAAGGATGCGTTTGATTGCAAACATGAAATTTATATGAAAAGTAAATAAATTTTAAGCAATTCAATTGCTTGGAACTTATTTGTATGAAAATTATTAATTACAGTTCCATTTTTATCAGCAATTGCATTTTATCAGTATATCCATTTTTTCGTGCGTGGAATTATTTTTGCTCTTTATAACGTGGTAGCATTTTCTCGCCCACCTAATTAATAAGGATTTAGCTATTTGTACTAGACACCATATTTACTTTCTTGTAAAAAAGTCATTGGGTAATTTTTTTTGAAACTGTCAAATAACATTGCGTTTTGCCCCTTGTACATAAAGAAAACCACATAAACTCACCAGAATACACACAAACAGTAGGCCCCACCGTGTATTTAAAAAAAGTGCCGGGACTCACATGTGAGTCTATTCTGTGAATTTTATGTTGATTTTATTTCTGTACAAGCAGCATCTCTCAATAATATTTTACAAAGTATCAACCATGATATACACCAAGTATGATTGAATTAATAATTAGAAAAGCCATTAGCATTGGAATGACCTTAAGGATGCGTTTGATTGCAAACATGAAATTTATATGAAAAGAAAATAAATTTTAAGCAATTCAATTGCTTGGAACTTATTTGTATGAAAATTATTAATTAAATGTGTTTGATTGATTTAGTTGAAATATTATACATGTTTATTTTTTATTGGTGAGTAGATAAGAGGGAGAGAGTGAGTGAGTAAATTACCTGAAAAATAAAAATCACCACTCTCAAGGAAAATATGGTCTTGTGACTAAAAGCAATAAAATATTTTTGTGGAAAAAATGTCAATCAAGCCGCACAAAAGTAGAAATTTAGGTGGAAAAACATATTTATTTAATGAAAAATATTGGTAATTAAACGCACCCGAACTTAATTTCCTTCTCTTTCTTCTTCTTCTTCTTCTTTTTTTTTTCTTTTCTTTTTTTCATATTTTTATGTTAAAAAATAATTTAATTTCTGCACAAGACTGAAAAATTCAAAGAAACTGTCAATTACGCCCTTGTTTGACACCCAATTTCTTTCTCTTTCTTAATTTCAACTGCACATTCTATCAATAAAATAATATTACACATAAACCCAAAAATTTTCCTTGTTTTTTAATCACATATTCTTCCATCAATCACTATTTTAAAATTTATTCTTTCTCAAAATTGGGTGTCAAACACAACCGTATTAAGTTAAAATTGATAAATAAATCATAACATGATGGATTTTATTTAAGGTTTCAAAAGAAATATAAGAAAGAAATTATTACTTATTGAAAATATTGGCACAAAAAGGATAATCCAATGAGATGTAACTCAAATGGTAGAGGGCTCGCATGCGAGAGAGGCCCAGGGTTCAATCCCCCGCATCTCCAAACCAGTAATCATTTTCAAATCAATTTTGATTCCCCTTTTTAGCAAACTTTTGTAGGATTTACCTTTTCCAACATTGCAAGATTTGGGATGGTTTGTGATTACATCACATGAATAAATCTGTTACTTTTTTTCAGGTACAAAAAAGCACCAATTTTTTTTGCCTCATTTCGAATTAATAACTTCAAACACCCTTCGTAAAACAGAATTTTTGGGTTTCCTCCTACACTAAAGAATATTAATAGCAAAAATCAGAAGCTTAATCATTCAAAAGTGAGAACTACAAAAGCTTGTATAAATCATATAAAATTCCTTATTTTTCGCTAATCGTACAACACAAGTTTAGTATTCTTACAATTCCCACATTCCTGTGAAGAGGGCGTAGTACAAAAACTACGAACTTCTAGTTCATTGTAGTGCCTAATCTCATACAATACAAGTGTACCGAACATGCCCTATCTTGACCATAATTGATAGTCCATTCCTTTGTCCATAAACTTCTGCCAGCTTCCATCCAAATCAACTTCCTTGGAAGGATTCCAATCAAAATGTCCAAGTTTCACTACAAGTGTATCGCCAATTTGCAACATAACCGTCATTGTTAGCATGGAATATTTTTATGGGGCTGCGGCAGTGGATTCCAGCCCGTTTCCGAGCTTTGATCAACTCAGTTATGATGTGACAGATGCCGAAATCATAAAAATGATCATAAACTACCACATGCTGCAAATTTTATAAGAAAATAAGGTTAGAATCACAATCATTCGTCCAAGAAATGAATCGATGCATAACTTTGGTGAGTAGAGTTTCAACTAAGACACGACCGCATTATTCTAATCACTAGCTTCCGACTGTAATAAGAATATGTTTACCTGATGAGAGCTTCACTCGAGAAAAGAACAAAGCAATAATAAGAGTGAAAGGAAAGAACTTAAACATGAACACACGAGAGGCCTACAGATAAAATGAGCGTTTGTTTTTTAGCAGGAGATAAGATTATTTTTATTCTCCTCATTTCTCCTTATTCAGGAAAATAAATGGCCATAGTATAACTGAAAGTGTCCAACATTGGTGCATAAAACTTAAAAGACGTGTGAAATTGGCATAAAAACGCTTACAGACTACAGTCCTTGGTTGTGTTAAAATGTAAGCATATCCTTGCATAAGCTTCTCCCTTGGACCCTGAGAAAGTGTTCTGAGTTAAAGCAGTCAACCATAACTTGGAATGTTGAAGTTGATATGCACATATAATACACATTTACTCTCTCTACCCTTTAAGCCACAACAGACTTGCATAGAAAGTGTGTGCGCTCGCATGTGCAATGTTGGGTGGGTCAGGTGGGGGTCGGTGGGAGAGTGAGTGAGTGAGTGAGTGATGACACCTGTGTAGATCCAATATCATGAGACTCTAAGAACGTGACAGCATGAGAGGGCCACCATTCCATTACTCCAGTTGGTTTCCCTTGAGGATCTATTAATCCCCAATACTGATTATGCGGTGCAAAATGAAGAATGCCCTGCATAGAGGTAACCAAAGGTCCCAATGAGGATTAATCTTACTCGTCTTATCAGAAACAAAATAGAATTTGACAAACAAGTAATTGATTATTTTCATAAGCAAATGTTGCACAAGGAAGCTTGTCAATAACATCATAAACACAATTAATTTCAAGTTGGTCACTTGCACATCAATCATAGTGGGTTGTTACGTTATAAGATCGAGTACCTTGGTACATCGCAACAAAGGCAAAGACTATAATTACATAACTATTACCCTTTCATAAAATTGAATTGAATCAAACACTTCCTCTTTAGGGCAGTAGATTATGTGAAAACTAAACATACACTAACAATAGAAAAACCATCCTACCACAATCAATTTATCTAATTATTTTCATCTAGATAATTTCAGCTAACACAACATGTAGGAATGAAGACCTTTAAACCATTCAAGTTAAAGTCCCAATAAGTTATTTTAAACTTAGATATTCGGCAGGGTAAAATGCATGGGAACTCTTTTCCGATATGATCCTTGCCTAAATCCAGATACTGTATAAATATGATTAAGGATCCAAAACTTTGTAGCATAACTGCAACATATTCTGTAAAAACAAATACATGCAGCACATGCACGCCAAACAAAATAAAAAAACCATGTTCATTCATATGCACACAACATACAAGCACCTTTCACTGTGTTGGAACAAACATCTAGGGCATTCCATCAGCCACATCAGCATTGAACTACAAAAGAATCTCCCCGTAAGCATAATATCTAAAAGTCATTCAAACACGATGTAAACGTGCAAGATTCAGGGCTTTTATCAATACGTTATATCACTATTTGAAGTGTCAACCCACTCAAGCTTGTTAATTAGACGTGAAAACAATAGCATTTCATTTAGACAAACCATCTCTTACAATGAGCATCATAAAGATGGATGTTCCTAGATCTGGTGCACCAAGAATGAGTGGGGAAATGTCAGTTGATGCATGTTTGGTGAAGCTTCAATCTTAAGTATTTAATATGGAGAACAAGATAGAGAAAATTAGAAGTCAGAGGAAACATACATGCTACTTACTCATTCTCTCACAATGAACATCTTAATCAGCAAGTGTATATTCTAGAGTGCCTACTGAAGTCATTGGCTTCTATTCAAGGTAGATTGTGTGTCCTGGAGGGATCGTCTTTCATGTTCCCCAATTTTTCATATTTATATGGTCATAAACTTGTTGCTTATGGTTTTCTGGGATAAGATCAACCCATTCTTCAGTGAACTGTATTGACACATCCCATTAACTCTAAAATTCAGCATATCCAAATGATCTTGGGCTTCTCATTCTTTCCTACCTGCGAAATTGTGGTTGTGGGAATCTGGATTTCAGACTAAAATATCATAAATCCTGGTAAGAATGACTTATCCTGGATATCTCTGTCAAGCCCGAGTAGATATTTAATAAACTTATTTTCTGAGCGCAAACTGCTGCCACATTTCAACATTATCCCAGTTTGGCCAAATCCATTTTGTGCCAATCTGGTTAGCTCAGCAAGAGCTGAAAGGAAATCATCAAATTGGATCAGCTAAGTAAATTAATCTTGTGTTTCTATAATAATTGATGATATAAATTGTTAAAATTCAGAAAATTGAACATAAACTTCGATTAATAATTAAGTCTAACATACAACAACCCTCCTCCTTTATCCGGGCTTGGGACCGGCTATGACTCGACATAGGCGGAATTAAAATTATACACGGAATAATTAATTAATAAATTTATACATTATGCTATTCCGTGTACAACTTTTCATAATTAAAAACATCACATTATTAAATCATTTACACTTATAATTTGTTTGAAGATATTAAAAAAATTATAAATGTGACAGGTGGCGAGATCCATTCGACACCACTATATTAAAGTTGTGAGTAAATATAAGTTTGATCTGATAGACTAAAAGCATAAAATTTAGAAATCAAATGGTAAGATAGCTGAGTTAAGGTATTTTCTATTAGTTGATCGATTCAAAACTAACAAATATCAGTAATGAGATGAAATTGAGAACTTTTTGAGAAAACTATCCACAGATGATCATGTACATTAATAATTACTATTAAATTAAATCAACGTGGTATCTAAGACCAAAATTTTGAGGATGTTACGAGGAGAATAGAAGAAGCATTTTATCATATTAGATAAAACACACAAGCAAATTAGTCACAATTGCATCAACTCTTTGTTCACAAATTGAATAAATACAAGACTCTCATGCAAAAAAATTTAACATTCTATACCTCTGTAGAGAGCTGATATCGTCATGTTACCCTTCCAAAACAGCCTACAAAGTTACTATTGCATCCTTTGTTTTGTTGAAGACATTGTACCCCTCTTCAAACATTAATACTTTAGGGTCCTTTACTGAAGAAGCAACATTGAAGAGCAAACTCTATAGCAACATTCCAAGGACAAGATAATAGCCGTTTCATTTCAGGATTTGCACGTAGGAGTTGATCATGGACTACATCATGGCAGAACAAAATATGAACTTGTGAACAAAACTCTTCTATCTTAGTTTCTTCCAATTCATCCTCGCGGTTCATTGACAAAATCCTCGTCTTCTAACAAAGTGTACACAATGCATCCTCTGTTTTGTTGAAATATTTTACCCCTCATCAAAGTCTAGCACTTGAAGGTTCTTTACTGAAGAAACAAATTGATCCCAAGAGCAAACTCTGTAGCAACAGTCCAGGGAGAAGATAATAGCTATCTCATTTGCCCGTACGATTTTATCATATACTGCATCATGGCAAAATAAAGTATGAATTTGTGAACAAAAGTCTTCTATCTCAATTTCTTCCAGTTCATCCTTACGGTTAATTGCCAAAATTCTAGTTTTTCAATAAAAGAGTACACAAAGTTACGATTGTCTCCTTTGTTTTGTTAAACATGTTGTACCCCTCTTCAAACTCTAATACTTGAAACTCCTTTACTGAATAAGCAATATTTATCGCAAGAGCAAACTCTGTAGAAGCATTCCAGGGAGAATATAGTAGCAAATGGATGTTACCCTGTATCGAATAGCACAACATTGGGCGACGAATGTAGTATTTTAGCCAGCAAAACATTTTCACTTGTACGTGTTGCATTATCAACCAACATAAGAAACAAGCATATTGTTAATTCTGTCAAATCATCCTAGCCATTTAGTCTTGCCTCACCCAGTTAAAACTAGCAAATGTTAACAATCCAGAGAGACTAAAGCAGATGGAAACTTTAGTTTATAAAAATGATAGAATTTTGAATCCGAATGATTTCTATTCCTAGCAAAGTTCACAACATACGGTTCAGCTTCTGAATAAGTTTGGATGCGTGTCTTGGATGAACGTGTTTTTGTTTCATTTCCATAATCTGCATTTTCAGTCTTAGAGTTGTTTCTTATGCATTTAGGGCTAGAATATCATGAATCTTGATCACAATAACTTATCTTGGATGTCTCTGAGGAGTCAGGATAAATATTGGATGAACTTGTTTTCAGTCCATATTTTTTTCACAACAGCTTACATACTGCTTCATTTCACCTTAGGAACTATTTTCTAGCCATTGGATTCCCTTCTGTGGCAATCTGATCATCTCAAGAAGACCTGAAAAGAAACCCATCAATTTGGACTAGTAACAGAAATTCAAAGCATGGCTGGGCACATTATGTCAAGAAATAGTGGTGTCAAAACAAGGTTACACGGCCTGCACATTATATATTGAGTTTTTTAGCAATAAATAATATAACCCATTAAATTCAGAAGATTGAAGTACTGAACAAAAACTAAACTTAGTTTATTCCAATAATCTAAACACAACCCTCCTCCTTTATCCGGACTTGGGACCGGCTATGATTAGTCATAGGCGGAGTTGAAATTATACGCGGAATAATATATTATGCAATTCCGTGTACAACTTTTTAAAATTTAAAACATCAGATTAATTATATCATTTACACTTATAATTTATTTGAAGACACCAAACAAAGTATAAGTGTGACAAGTGGCCAGACCCAATTTGACACCACTATATTAAAGTTACGAGTATTCTGCTAGACTTAAAGAACAAAATTTTAGAAATCAAATGGTAAGAGAGCTGAGAACAGATTCTATGTCTAAGTTCTCTCCACTAATTTCAGCAGACCATTAAGGAAATTTCTATTAGTTGGTCAATTGAAAACCAACAAATATCAGTAATGAGATGAGATTGAGAACCTTTTGACAAAACTATCCACAGATGATCACGGACATCAATAAATACTATTAAATTGAATCAAGATGTTATCTAAGTAACTTCAAAAAAGAAACCAAAATTTTGAGGATGTTACTAGGAGAAAAGAAGCATTTTGTCATATTAGATAAAACACACAAGCAAATTATTCACAGTTGCATCAACTCTTTGCTCACGAACTGTAGAAATGCAAGACTTGAGAATTATAATAACAAAAGTAGTTTCATGCAAAAAAATTAACATTCAATACCTCAGCAGAGAGCTGACATCATCATGTTTCCCCTCCAAAACAGCATGCAAAGTTACTATTGCATCCTATGTTTTGTTTGAGACGTTTGTACCCCTCTTCAAACATTAATACTCGAGGATCCTTTACTGAAGAAGCGTTAATGAAAAACAAACTCTGTAGCGGCATTCCAAAGAGAAGATAATAACTGTCTCATTTGAGGATTTGCCTGTACGAGACTGCAACATGGCAAAATTAAGTATGAATTTGTGAATAAAAATATTCTATCTCTGTTTCTTCCAATTCATCTTCACGGTTCATTGCCAAAATTCTTGTTTTCTGATGAAGTGTACGCAATGCATCCATTGTTTTGTTGAAATATTGTATCCCTCATCAAACTCTAACAATTGAAGGTTCTGTACTGAAAAAACAAAATTGATCCCAATAACAGACTCTGTAGCAACATTCCGTGGAGAAGATGATAGCTGTCTCATTTGCATGTACAAGTTGATCATATACAGCATCATGGCGAAATAAATTATGCATTTGTGAACAAAAATATTCTATCTCAGTTTCTTCCAATTCATCCTCACGGTTCATTGCCAACATTCTTGTTTTCTAATAAAGCGAAAAGTAAAGTTACTATTGTACTCTTTGTTTTCTTGAACATATTGTACCCCTCTTCAAACTTTAACACTTGAAGCTCCTTTACTGAATAAACAATATTTATTGCAAGAGCAAACTCTGTAGCAGCATTCCAGGAAAAATATATTAGCAAATGGATGTCACCCCGTATCGAATAGCATAACATTGGGCAGAGAATGTAGTAATTTAGCCAGAGAAACACCTTCACTTGTATGTGTTGCATTATCAATCAACATATGAAACAACCATATTGTTAATGCTGTCAAATCATCCTAGCCATTTAGTCTTGCCTCACCCAGTTAAAACTCGCAACTGTTAACAATCTAGAGAGACTAAAGCAGATGGAAACTTTAGATTATAGATAAGATATAATTTAGAACCCGAATGATTTCTATCATAGCGAAGTTCACAGCATACGGATCATCTTCTGAATAAGTTAAAAGGTGTGTCGTGGAAGAACGTATTTTGTTTCATTTCCCCAATCTGCGTTTTTACACGGTCTTAGAGTTGTTGCTTATGGATTTAGGACTACAATATCATGAATCTTGGTCAAAATAACTTATATCACGAATCTTGGTCAAAATAACTTATATCGTGAATCTTGGTCAAAATAACTCTTCTTGGATATCTCTGACGAGTCTGGATAAATATCAGATGAACTTGTGTTCGGTCCATATTTTTGTACCTGCTAATATATTGCTTCATTCACCTTTGGAACTATTTTCAAGCCACTGGATTCCCTTCCATGCCAATCTGGTCATCTCAAGAAGACCTGAAATGAAATCCATCAATTTCTATCAGTCACAGAAATTCAAAGCGTGCTTTTATTTTTATAATAATTACAAGGAAGCACAGCACATTATGTCAATAAGTAGTGGTGTCAAACGAGCCCAGCTAGGTCAACAAGGGTACACAGCCAGTGTTCAGGACGCGTTGTTGGTCTATTTTATATTGAGTTTAGTAATTAATAATATAAAATGTTAAAACTTCGAAGATTGAAGTACTGAACAAAGACTTAGTTTATTCCTTTAATCTAAATGCAACCCTCCTCCTTTATCCGGGCTTGGAACCGGCTATGTTTAGACATGGGCGGAGTTGAAATTATACACGGAGTAATGTAATACATAGATTTCTATGTGCTATGTTATTCCGTGAACAATTATTTAAAAAAAAAAAAAGTAATTATATCATTTACAATTACTTAAATTGATTGGCTACAGAAACTCTTTGCTGTTGCCCTCCACCAGTATTACCTCCCCCTTTCACCAATCTCACTTAGGCCACAGCCCTGGAATAGAATAGCTGAATAGGTAGACCAGAAGTTCATGTCACAGTATTAACTCCACCCCTTTCGCCGATTACTCTTAAGGAGAGGCTAGTTCTAAAGGCAAGGAGTAAAGCATAAAATGTCCCATCGAAAATTCAACAAATATTGTGGAGAGAATCGCTGTTGCATAAGGAATATTACCATCAAGAAGCAACAAATCTTGAAATAAATATAAATTCTAATGAGCTATAAGAAGAGAGTAGTGCTTAAACTGATGGGGAGTAGGAAGTTAAATCATTGACAATAATCAAATCGAGTCTAATTAAATCTTTTACAGGAATCCAATTGAGTACAAAATCAAATCAAATTAAAGCATGTTTAACTTCCAAGATGCAAGATTGGTGATGAAGACGATGAAACCACTTTAAGTCAACATTGACAACAATCAAATAGAGTGTAATTAAATCTTTGACAAGAATCCAATCGAGTGCAAAATCAAATCGAATTAAAGCATGTTCTTACACAAATAATTTGATATTACCTTCCAAGATTGATGATGAAGACGACGAAACCATTGTAAGTCAACATTGACAATAATCAAATCAAGTGTAGTTAAATCTTTCACAAGAATCCAATCGAGTGCAAACCTAAATCGAATTAAAGCATATTTTACCTTCCAAGATTGGTAATGAAGACGATGAAACCACTGTAAGTCAACATCGACAACAGTCAAATCAACTGTAACTAAATCTTTCACAAGAATCCTATCGAGTGCAAAATCAAATCGAATTAAATCATGTTTATAACCTTCCAAGGTTGCAAGATTGGTGATGAAGAAGATGAAACAACTGTAAGTCAACATTGACAAGGATCAAATCGATGTAATTAAATTTTTCACAAGAATCCAATCGAGTGCAAAATAAAATCGAATTAAAGTATGTTACCTTCCAATATTGGTGATGAAGACGATGAAACCACTGTGAGTCAACAACAACAATCAAATCGAGCCTAATTAAATCTTTCACAAGAATCCAATCGAGTTAAAATCAAATCGAATTAAACCATGTTTTTACGCAAATAAATCTGATATTACTTAGGTGATGAAACCACTGCAAGTCCCCCTTTTCCCAATTCGTTCACTGTAAATTTTTAGCGGGAAAAACCCGGAGTTCTCTTCGTTTGCACTATTAGCCCCCGTTTGAAAAATATGAAATCAATTATCAATTTTGAATTTCTCGTGTGGGCTAACTACTGTGAGGGTGTTTGGTAGGGATTTTTAGGAGAAGAATTGCTTTTTGAATAGTGATATGATGGAAAATGTGTGGTTGAAAAAGAAGAAAAAAATATTGATGTGATGGAAAATATTATTTTATTGAATAATGTATGGTTGAAAATGAGAATTGATTTACTGTAGAAAATGAAAATCTGTACAAAACAGGCCCTAAATTTTTCATTCCGAACCAAACGGGCCCTTAATAAGACTAAATGGGGTTCATTGAGCATCGTTTTGTTTTGAGAGAATTAAGCAAATCCCTACATTTTAACTATACTTTTCAAATATCAGATTTTAAACTTTTCTTTTCATAAATCAGGTGTTAATTAATATTTTAATAATATCAAATATATGAATTTGTTAATAAATATTTATTATAACCCACCATCCACCCCCATCCCACACCAACCCAACCCAACCCAACCTAAATTTTCAATCCCCGACAACCCCAATTCATTTTTCTCTCTCTCCTCCCTCTTCTCCCTCTACCCATTATCGTCGCCTACAACCCAAACCCTATTATCCATATTCATTTTCTCATTTTCAATCTCTCTCTACTCTTACCTCACCCCCACCACCGGTGAAGATGCCGAAGAAAAGGGAGTGGTGATGTATGCCATGGGTTGGGATGGATGCACTGAAAGCCAACGACGCTGTGCAGTTTTACAAGACAACCTTTGGAACCGAGGAGCTAAGTTGCGTCATGCACCCCAAAAGGAAGGCTGATCACGAGATTCTGTTTGTTCTCTCTGCTGAACTCAAGATCGGNAATTAAGCAAATCCCTACATTTTAACTATACTTTTCAAATATCAGATCTTAAACTTTTCTTTTCATAAATCAGGTGTTAATTAATATTTTAATAATATCAAATATATGAATTTGTTAATAAATATTTATTATAACCCACCATCCACCCCCATCCCACACCAACCCAACCCAACCTAAATTTTCAATCCCCGACAACCCCAATTCATTTTTCTCTCTCTCCTCCCTCTTCTCCCTCTACCCATTATCGCCGCCTACAACCCAAACCCTATTATCCATATTCATTTTCTCATTTTCAATCTCTCTCTACTCTTACCTCACCCCCACCACCGGTGAAGATGCCGAAGAAAAGGGAGTGGTGATGTATGCCATGGGTTGGGATGGATGCACTGAAAGCCAGCGACGCTGTGCAGTTTTACAAGACAACCTTTGGAACCGAGGAGCTAAGTTGCGTCATGCACCCCAAAAGGAAGGCTGATCACAAGATTCTGTTTGTTCTCTCTGCTGAACTCAATTGTTGTATTGGACCTCATTGATGATGACTCTGCTGAACTTGATTAACTTTTGGTACAGCTAATGGCAGTATTAGTAGTTAAAACAATCTGATGGAGGTTAAGTTGTTCATAATCATGTGTTGGTTAGGGATTTTGAATGATTAAACTTGGTTTATGTGACCTTTTATCTTACAGATGGCAGTTATGTGCTTATTACTTGATAATTAATTTCTC